TTTTAATTTTATTTTAAAACAAGGAGAACATTTATTTTTTATTAGAAGTTATTATTTTTATTTTAGATAAGGAGAAGTTTTTATTATTATTATTGTTATTAATATTATTATTACTATTAATATTATTATTATTTTTAATATTATTGTTATTATTATTGATTAGACACAAGATCTTCCACATCATCTTCAAGTTGTCAAGATGGACAATGTGTTAAGGTTGTTATTATTATTATTTACACAATTTCCAGAATTTTTATGTTACCAGGATGAACCAGAAGAACCCATGATATATAAACTTTTAATAAATTGATAATATAAAAAAGTTAGCAGATATGATAAATATGATCTTTACAGCAAGTTGGAATAAAACTATCTATTCAGCAATTGCAATTGTGTACGTGTGTGTGTGTGTGTTATAATGTAAGATATTAACATATATGGAAGGGAAGTGGCAATACAGAAATATGTAAATAGATTGATGCTGTGGTCAGAGAAGAGTCAGCAGCATTGTTGGTGTCAGGAAGTCTATCACCTCTTTTGTGCTCTTAAGTTTGTCACAAAGACAGCAGCCAGTTTCTCCACAGTATTGAGAGAAGAGAACCAGGAAATAGAGTCAACTCTGGAAGCATCAACACCGGAAGTACGACTTAGATTACTACAATGATTGTTTATTCACAAAAAGTTAGTTTGATGTGTAGGGAACACATAGAACTGCTAAGATTTGAGAGACTACAAATATAAGAAAGACAAAGAGTAAGAGATTTCACCAGAGTAGAGAGTTAGGGAGAGACGAAAATCCATTTAGTATGTTAGTAGCAGAGTTTATGAAATTGTAAGGCAGCCCACGAGAGAACAAATTGTGAAGGGATTGGACCGCTAAGTTTTGATAGCTGAACAAGTTACAAAGGCAATGAACATTTATACATTTATATCTGGTCACAGTCATGAACAAGTTACAAAAAAGTAGTGAGTCGGACTTGAGTCCTGGAGGTATAGTGGAGATATATTGCCGTTTTAGACCTGTAGTGTCGGTATGCCTCTGGCAAGACTGTGATGGTGCTAGTAATGATGTTAATATCTTTATTATGCACCCTATTTGATGAAAGTGTTTTTTAATTTTTTGGGTCGCCCTGTCTTGGTGGGGAACGACGGTGTTAAGAAAAAGATTGAGATGTATAAATAGAAAACAGGAATAAATAACATGCTAAAATATCCAAGGACTTGCAGCAGAATAAGTAAGTTTATTCAGGTATACACAAATACAGTTACATGGATTATCACACATATCAGCATATGTGTAGAGAACCTGGGATAACTCAGAACAAAGTGATAATAAAAAATTAGATTTTGTTCAGATTTTTAACCTTGGAGGGTTAGCCACCGAGGATAACCTATGAAATGTAGAAAGACAAAGAATAAGAGATTTCACCAGAGTATAGAGTTAGGGAGAGAAGAAAATCTGTTTAGCACATGAATGGCAGAGTTTATGAAATTGTAAGGCAGCCCATGAGAGAACAGATTGTGAAGAGTTGAGGAACTGAGGGTCATAAATGCAGAGTGCACAGAGAAAGATAAATAGGAACACCTCTTGACAGAGGGAACATGGTAAGAAAAGTAGAGAATGTACATGCTACTGTGCATAGGTTTGCAGTACACAGAAAAAGCAAAACCTGTATCCGAGCTGTAAACATGAACATCAAGGAAAGGAAGCTAAGAGCTACATTACCATTCAGCTTTAAACTTGATGGAAGGAGCTAAATTGTTAGGGGCATTTTTTTTTTATTTATTTTTTATTTGGACATAATACATAGTTGTACAAAGAAATATAGTGATTGGGTGTACATGCCAAAAGCCCCTTGTATGCAGAGAATTATGGGCAGGATTAAAATTAACTTAAAATTAACTAAGCAATGATATATTCAGTGGTAAAAATTACAGTAAACAAATTACAACATGAAGTACAAATGAGTATTTAAAATAAGAAGCATTAAAGTTGTACAAAATTGTAGCATAACAATGTATAATATAATTGAATCAGATCGAGCAAAATCAATGATTTGTAGTGTCAGAAACAGGTCATATGGTCATTAGATGGTTACTGGGCATTCTAGAGAATGGAGTATTCTATTAGGTAATGTAATTAAAAAAAACATAGTTTGATAGGGTCACAGGTTATACATTTATGAGGTACAGTTATTCAGTATTTAAATAACAAAAAAAGGCACAATACCGTGACTGGAACGATACACAAATAACCCGCACATAAAAGAGAGAAGCTTACGACGACGTTTCGGTCCGACTTGGACCATTTACAAAGTCACACTAACAGTTAGTGTGACTTTGTCAATGGTCCAAGTCGGACAGAAACGTCGTCGTAAGCTTCTCTCTTTTATGTGCGGGTTATTTGTGTATTCAGTATTTATTTAGTTGTGGTTGAGTAAATGGTTTTTAAGAAGTCTTGAATTGATAAACAGACATTACAGTGGACCCCCGGTTAACGATTTTAATCCGTGCAAGAGGGCTCATCGTTATGCGAAATAATCGTTATGCGAATGAATTTTCCCCATAAGAAATAATGGAAATCAAATTAATCCGTGCAAGACGCCCAAAAGTATGAAAAAAAAATTTTTTTCCCACAGAAATGTTAATTTTAATACACACAAACTGAAAAAGGCATGCACAATTAAATGACACTTACTTTTATTGAAGATCTGGTGATGATGATGGGATGGGAGGAGGGAGAGCATTATCTTCTTACTGTTTAG